TGTACCAGTGAGAATATAAAAAATATGTAAATATACTTACATTTCCCAAAGCTGCAACACTGATACACATAACATATCAGTACCAGCGAGAAGATCAAAAATATCCCTTTGGAGTAAGAAAAAAGGGATCGTGTTGGTCCTGCATACGACTTCGGGTGGCATATCTAACTGTATGGGAGTGGTCCCGATAGTCGCTGCCAGTGCACCGAGTCGCTGTAAAGCAGATGGTGGTGGTGGTGATTCATGCACAACTTCCTTTGCTTTTTCAGACTCTTTCTATACAAGTACCAAAAATCAATAACATTAATATACATCAACCTATCAAAAAATAATAAGTACTATCGTTCAATGCATAAATCAACCTGTGCAGCTGTTGGGATGGGTCTTGTTAATGAAACTGGCCATAAGATAAAATGGCCAGGTGCCTGTCCCACTGTTTGAACCTCGTCAGTGGGAATAGGGATTGGGGCAGCAGCATCCCGGACATCTACAACCACCACTCTTATCATATCATCTCCAATACTCTGGTGGTGGATGGTTGACCCCAATGCATACATTTTCCCTAAGGTAAACAAAGGATAAAATATTTTAGACTATATAATGCTTAACACTGTACCAAATACATGTCAAAGATATAATACGTACCGTATGCCACCAAATGCTCGGGAGGACCCGCAACATACAATTGACAGTCAGCAGTGTCAGTAGGAGCAACCTGTGCCCCTCTATCAGGAGCATCACAACTCTCCTTTGTGCTGACATGAATCGGGGATGCCTCTCGTGCGGGGACAGAAGGTTGAGAGGACAAAGATGCCAACTCTGCTCGCATTGAGCTCAATAACTCTGCCTTCAAGTCAGAGTACACCTCATCTCGTATCTCCTTCCTAATTTGTTGTTTGAGGGACTCAAACTCTTGCTCATTCAGCTGCCTCAAAGAAGGAGTTGCCACGGGTGGGGCACCAAAGTACTGTCTGATGCCCACCCCTCGTCCAGCACCACGAACACGTCCAGGATGCTCTGGGGTACCAATGGCCACTGCCAATATATCCTGACGGCCATGTGGGTGGAATGATCCCTGAGTGCTCTGCTCAACCAACTCATCCTACAACACAAACGAATGATTTTTTAGCAAATACAAATGCCTATTGTAGTATAACATATATAATTAGTTTAGGATATGCTACTTACAATACGTTGAGCAACAACATTAGTTTGCTCAGATAAGTAATTCCCTGATGAGTTCTGGCGAGCTCTCTTCCATTTATCATGGCGTGAAGGGCGAGTGACAAGCACTCACAACCGACTCATCTGAAAGATGACTTGAAGATGTCTCCTTCATCATCTTCTCCTCCAATTTCTCATAACCCCCATGAGACAACTCGTGGGGGTGGATATTCTTTCTCCGAATATCTTGTGCCTTCGCCGCTTGGCCTCGTTGCATTCCATGTTAAATACCAGATTTAAAACCTCTATTTAAAAAAAATGACTGCAAACAAATGACAAATGTGCTAACTCGAAACTTAGCATCTAAACGCCGAGTCCGAAATGCCTGCCATGTCTCCTCATCCAAAAACCGATACTGGTCACATGGGTTCTTGTTGCTCAATGCCCCATATATGTATCGACCGGTCAGATCACTCTTAAAACCTCTCCAGCGTTCCCCAAGCATATGAGATCCACTTTCTCCTGAACAAAGTGGTGTTATGGACATCATATGTGACCTACACAATAAAAATAACATGAAGTTCCCAAAAAGTTAAATATATATAAACATGTTAAATGCCAAATAAGAGTAGGTACCAGGATACTCTGCCAAATCCGGTTCTTCGGTGTCTCCGGAACATGGTCCCAATCCTCAATAAGAATACTAACCTTGCTTCTCCTAAGCAAGGCCACATAGCTAGTGAATCTAGCACTGTGCTCTCCAATGGCTCTACCAGCTTGCATGTCAAACTGGATAGGCAATTTCTGATCGGAGCTACGATCGATATTCAACTCCTTCAACCGTGTACCACGCCTACCCTTTTTCCCGGTAGACGGCTGACTCGATCACCACCTTCCGTAGGAGGGGGACTGTGTAGGAGGAGGGGAACCAGATGAATCTGCCATATCCGTGTTCAAAGAAAAAAATAATAGTTATTAGTTTAGACAATATGACTGAAGATAAACAAAAAAGTGCATACAATAAAAAATAATACATTAAAAAAATTTCATACATTATCAAGTTGGAACATTCTCCCAAAATCCTTCCATATGGTCATAACGTATGGCATGCACATCATCTATTTCTACATTAACACTAAAGTTTGGCATATTTGAAGAGAAACATGGTGTCTCGGGTATATCAAGTACTAAATCATCATTCTCATCGAAGTATACATGGGTTTTCAAAATCAAATTAGCTACGAAACACGAAATAACTACATTATAATGCCTACACGAAATCCAACTCCACTCTCAAAATAACTACATTATAATACAAATCTAATTTTCAAAATCAAAATCACGAAACACATTCAAATGCCTACGAAACACATTCAAATGACTAAACTACTTACAATACATCTCTAAATTAGCTAAAGGGACCCGTGATGTTTCCCTCTCTTGACAACATTATTACTTACTAGATTCAATATCGTAAACATACAATGGCTAAAGCAAGCACGAAAACTTACCTCTTGAAGACCTACAGAGGTGGCGGGTGGCGTGACGTGCGAGCCGGGTGGGGAGAAACGTATCCCGGGCGACGGGCACCGGTAGCGACAGGCGGCACGAAGCGTTGGCGGGTGGCGTGACGAGCAAATGTGGGTGCGGAGAAACGTACACGAGCGAACGGGGAGCTCGCTATGGGTGAACTGATGAAAAGAAATGGAGCGTAGGGAGAAACGTACGGGGAGCTCTGCTATGGGGGAAGTGATGAAATGAAATGGAGGGAAGGAGAAGGTTAAAACAGAAGATACTATGTCGGTTGCTCTAACACTCACGTCATCAAAGACACTTTCTATGTCGGTTAAATGTTACCCGACATAGAAAGTTTACTTTCTATGTCGGGTAAATATTAACCGACGTAGAAAGTAAAGTGACCTTTCCACTTACTATGTCGGTTAAAACTTACCCGACATAGAAAGTTTATGATTTTATTACATACATGCCACCGCGCCACATACTATGACGGGTGGACTACGACCGTGATAAAAAGCCGTCATAGAAAGCTATTTTCCACTAGTGAGCGAGGGTTTTTTCTTTTTTTCTTTTTTTTTTTATTTAGCATCCGTAGGTAAATGAGTAGGTAAAGTAGTAAAAAAACATTACCTACCTCCTACATCCGTAGGTAATGCATAATCATCCCATCCGTAGGTAAATTCCGTATATAATAGATAATTTATGTACGAATATACTTTTGTAGGTAAAATCCGTAGGTAATGTAAAATTTACCTACGGATTTTTACCCGTAGGTAATATTCCGTAGGTAATAGGCTTTTTTCTTGTAGTGATACTTAAACTAATGTATATTGATTATCTAATGTATATTGATATAATTTTTTTGTATATCAATTATATGAAAATAACCATGGTTATGTAATTAATAATAATAAAGCAATAAATTTAAAGATTAGATTAAAAATAAAGTTTTATAAAATAAAATTGTAATAATTTGATTAAAATTTTATTTTCTTAATTAATTAAGTTAATGAGGAATTAAAATGTGATCATTTGATGTGTTTAATTTTTTTAATATAAAATTTTAAAATATAAATTAATTTCAATTGAAATTTTCAATTGAAAAATAAATTAAAGAATATTTATTATTAAACTTTTCTTAAACAATGTATTGAATAGTTAATATTACTCTAATCTTAATTTATTACAATTTAAATTTTTAATAAATTTGATTTATTTTTAATAATATTTTTATTTTAGTAATTTAAAATTAAAGTTAATCTTCATTTTGTTAATATTGAGACAAAAGTTTATTTTTAAAGTATCTTTTAAAAATTAAATTATTTTTAGAAAATAAATTACTTTTAATAAATAAATTGTCAAAAATATACTAAAACAATTAAAGTATATTTATAAAAAAATAAATTTAAATATAATAAAAAAATAATGTTCGTTAGCGACCGATTTAAATTCGGTCGCTATTTTCTCATTAGGGACCGATTATAATTTGGTCACTATTTTAATTTGTAATTCGGTCGCTAAATCGGTCGCTAAATGATTTTTTTTATTTTAGTGTGGAATAGCCACCGATTTAGCGATCGAAAATTTGCGACGCAAACTATTGGTCGCTATTTCGGTCGCTAACTAAAAAATTTGAAGCCAAATTATATTTCGGTGGCTAAATCGGTCGTTAAATTGTGAGCGAATTAATTCGGTCGCTAATTCGGTTGCTAATAGCGACCGAATTAAATCGATCGCTAATTTCGGTCGCTAAATGTGTTTTTTCTTGTAGTGGTTGTTTGTTATTGATTTATACGTATATCTCTTTAATATATGAATTTTTGACTTCTTTCTTTTAAATTAATTTACAAGTATGAAATCGAAACAATAAATCAAAGTGTCAATGTAAATTGTATTGGTGATGATTTTATTATTAATGAAAAACTCAACGAGTCAATTTCGAGTTAATATCGAATATACTGATGTTGAGAAAGAAAGGAAGAAAACATAAGTTCTACATCCGAAGTTTCTATATAATTTAAAAAATTAAAAAAATATGGGTTAGTGAGTCAATCCACCTAACCCACCAACCTGTGATGGGTTGAGCCGGATTATAAAATTTCTTGCTCGCCAAAAAAGTGAGTCAGGTTAAACTTACCTATTTTCAGCTCAACTCGTAGTGAGTCAACCCGTATGAGCTGGGTTGACTCACTTTGACATCCTAGTAATAACACACAATCACTAGCTGAAGAGTAAAAATACCCTATTATATATAATTTACACAATTTGATAATGTAAGGTTAAAACATCCAACTGGGTCTGAAATTGAAGAGTATCACCTTGTTTTCCTAGCTTCTTAACCTGTTTCCAACACACAACGGGTCACCACCAATGGTTTAAGTATCAAAATAATTTCTATTACTAGAAACACTGGAAAGTATAAACTTATAATTGGATTTGAACTTAATATATTGAGATATAAGAATTTTCTACAACAGCCTTATCTCACTAGTATTAACTAAATGACTTAAGTATCAAAATGACATATATTACTAGAAAGCCTATAAAGTATAAACTTATAATTGGATTTGAACTTAATATATTGATATATAAAAGCTTTCTACAATGACATTATCCCACTAGTACTAATTATTAATATAAAGGAGATATCATTATTATTAATTAAAATAGTTAAATTATTACTAAATATAATAACATAATTATTTATTATTCGTTGTTGCCTTTAAAAGTTTTTTAATACTTTCACAAAGACAAAATCAAAATAAAGGAGTTAAAACTAAGATTGAATGGAAAAAACTTTTAAGTGATTTGTTCAGTCAACCTACTTTTAATATCATATAAAGGATGATTTCAGATTGATAAATAATGAGGGTATAATCAGTACACTTCCTAGAAGGAAAAAGTAAAATAAATAAATAACTTTTTTCCAACAACAATAAAACCAAATTGACATAAAAAAGAGGAAAAAAAATTATCACCAACAATCCTATGCCTAATAACCAAAAATGAGCCTTAAACCATAGAAATATTTCACAAACTTAGATAAAGACATCTATTATGACAGAGTATCACTGGTCACATTAATACCCCGTGGAGTAGATGTCATAGTCTTTGTCTCTAACCTCTAATGCAAACTGTAAGTAAAATAGTGCTATAATAATGATTTAATTATTTCAGTCACATGAGTAGATTCCGAATCAAACTTGTTAGATTTTAAGGTGAGTTACAAGAAAAAAGAAACTTATATCTTTTCTCCTACTCCTCAAACTTTATTTATATATAAATAAAAACACTTTATGATAAATTTAATGCAATATTTGTGATATATATATATATATATATATATATATATATATATATATATATATATATATATATATATAGCATCTAATACTTACTTTCTCATTAATTTTTATCTCTCTTTAACTTATATATACACTCCATATTAAAAAGTACCAATTATCGTTTTCTGATCTATTATATGTAAGGCATCCACTCACAGTTTCCCTGAAGAACAACATGAACCATCAATGAGATATTAAGCACCTGTTTTTCTAATTCTTCTACATATCTGCAATTAAGGTTCTGGAGAAAGATTGTTGAGACAGTGCTGTAGTGATATTAAAGAATGGTGAGACGAAATTAACTTTGTTTTGGTGAGTGAATTTAAAAATTAAAAACTTTAGTTGATTATTTATATTCAATGGAGTGATACATTGCATTGTCTTCTATAAACAATGGACTATCTCCATAACAGAGATATAGGTCCCGGATATTATAATTACTACAGCTACCATTATTATTATCACTATGGTTACCGTTTCACACCCTAATTTCTTGTAAGTGTTGGAAATCTTCAAGTAGCTAGCACAAACATGGAAGCAGAATAGAAGTTGTAATACTTAAAAAGGCTCCAGGCCAAAGACATAAGAGACCCAAAGAATGGAACAACAAGGATAATAATAGTAGCGCTCGTTACCAAGACTGTACTACCTAAGATGTTCGTCACCCTAATTTTATACGTCCTTGGCAGCAAGTGCTTTAAAGCATTCATGATTGGAGTTGCCGTCAGAGCAAACTTGGATATGGGATTTACCAAGATAATATACATGATTACTTTTGAACTTATTTTGTCCAAAGGTAGATTTAAAGTTACTTGTGATTCAACCTCATCACCAAACATTATATAACCAATAATAGCTATGTATGCATTACCCGCCGTTGTTAAGAGAAAACATATAATTAGAACCTGCAATGTCCAAAAAATAAAATTCATTATATATAGAATGCAAGTAAAAGATACATTACTTGAATATAGGATTAAATTGAGCACTTTAAATTCAAATTAAACATAAGTATACTTACATTAGACAACTGATGTTTGTTTTTCATAGAAGTGTACAAGGTAGGAAAAACAGAATGTGTAGAGTAACAAAAGGCATACAAGCTAATAGCTCTTGGGATTCCACTCCAATTAAAAAGAGTTCCTTTTTTATCAAGCCTTACTCCGTCAAATATTACAATCCATGATATTGATAAGATGACGAGAGCAAAAGCAAATATTCTTACATAAGAAAGTAGATTCAAGTTATCCAACCAACACGTAAGCAAGATGATAAGGGCAGTCAATATCACATAAAATTGTTTTTCCTCAATTGCTAAGCCAATTATTTGAACCCCTCCCATAGAGAACATGTTACTCATGTTATCACCTTCAAGAATCAAGAATCCTATTAAAATTAAATAGAGTTCCATGTACACGGATACTGATACTATTAGCCTTCCTGTCTTTCCAAATGCAAGTTCACCCATATCAGAGTAGGTTCTAATGTTGGAATTCTTATCCATGCATCTTTTAATCAAAAGGCTGGTGTAAAATGCAGCAGCGACAATAACAAACAGAAGAGTCAAGCTTAACCACCCTCCTGAAGAAAGTGCATATGGAACTGAGAGTATCCCAACACCTGTAAATTAAATCAAAACCACACACACAAAACATTAGCGTTTTATTTATGTTTTGACATAAAATATTTAGGTTGAGGTTAAAAGAAACATAATTCATTAAGATAAGCTGAAATAAATATACATATCTTTTAGATACGTAAAGGAAGTGCATGTGTTGTAGATAATGAAACCTGATAATGTATTGAGTCCATTAAGGCAGGTGCCAAAGAAGGATACAGTGTTTTCGGCAGAAGGATGAGAGACTATGGCTTTCTCCTCATCATTGAGAAGTAAAGGCACGTTCAAGGAAGGATTGTATGCGAGTTTTTCTGACATATGAACAAAATCTGATATAGAATTTGATGAAAAAAGAAGTTTGATTTATTCTGCTTTAAGAATAAGTTTGATAGTGGAATGGATTAATTTGATGGCAGAACTGGTGCAATAAATACATAAAATTTTGAACTCTAGTTCACTTTCCAAAAAATTCACAAAAACCTTTCTGATAATGATGACTAATTCTTAGATAGGCAAATACCTAACTTATCACATTTGCATACAGTTCTCTCAAAATTTAACCTAATTAATCTAAAAAAAATTAAAAATCCTTTCAAATGTTGTAGATTTAATGTTCAAATCTTTTAGTGTTATCTAATTATGTTAGTGATTAATGTGAATTTTTTAATAAATTCTTGTAGGTTTTAATTATTTACAATATTTATTATTTTAAATTAAAATATTTTGATTAATGTAATTATACATTAAATTTTAATAATATATTTAATTATTTTTAAGTTTTGAATTCTAATTTTTATTAACGTGAAAAGTAGTTGTTTCACAGTTTATAGTTAACATGAAAAAAATCAAAAGTGAATTATTTATTACAAATATAAAATTCTATAATATTTATAACAAATATTCTATAATTAACTAAGTCAATTTTTTATGATTTTAAATTTTTTTATCTCAATCCAAAATTATTTAAAATATTTTAAGGATTTGCTTTATTCAAAATATACATTTTATAGAATAAATTATAATAATTTGAGATATTTTGAATATATTTTAAATTATTTTAAAGCATAGGTTTTTTTAAAAATTAATGAAGAAGTAACTAAAGAGAGAAATATAGAAGAGAAAAATATAAATATAAATAAGAAAAAAATTTAATAAATTATTAAATTTTACGTAAATGAATGTGAATAGGTGTACATGAAATAATTATTTTATGGTACGGTATTTCCCCTGGACCACGCGTAATCACGCTTGTCATTATGGGTCACGTGTAAGCAAGTTTGTCATTTTTGTCTACCAAATATGAGTTTGTTATTAAACTAGTGTCACAGTATTTAACTTATTTTAAACGAGTTTCCTCACTACTATAATAGTCAACGTCTGAGTAAACTGACACAATAGCAAGTTATTTTAAGGTCTATGTAGCGGACTGAAATTAATAGTTTGTTGCACCCAAATCTCATTTATTGCTTTTATACAGTTCAAAATCGATTTTAATAATATAACTATTTTAAAAATCTCGGATCAGGTTCATATAATGTAATCGGATATTAGTCTAAAAATGAATTTATTATTTTTAAATAATTAAAATTTAATCAAATTAGAATAAAATTGGAAAGATTGGATGGATTTTGGATAAACTGATTTTGATTGAAAAAAAAATCTATGATCAAATTTTGTTTAGTATAAGTTTTTTTTTTATAAAAGATATAATATATTTTTATTTTTTTTCTATTTTAATTTTATATTAATTTTAAATAATAATTATTTTATTATATTTTTATCTTATTTTAATAGTTATTTATCTTATATTCTTTAATATAATTTTATATTTATGATTTTTATTATAATTTACAATAATTAATTTATATTTTTATAAAAAATATTTTTATTAATGAACTTATTATATTATAAAAATATTATTTTATAAAATTTAGTAAACTATTAAATCTTTAAATATTTAACTTATATATCTATTTATTAACTGACTGGCCCTATTTTAAAAATATTATATAACATGTCTTTTTTTCTATTTAAAATAAACAATGAAGAAAAAAATTGAATAATAAATTAATAAAATAAAATATTAATTTTTTTTCACTGACACTTAAAAAGTGTAAAATAATAAATATATTTTTCTCTTTTCATTTTATTTTTATTTTCTTCATAATTAATTTTTTTCTTCTATTTATTACTTTTATAGTGTTATTTTATCTGTTCTATAGGTTCCTTAGAGCAAAAATATTAACAATTTTTTTATAATTATTAACAATAGTGTAATTTTGATTTTTTTAATGAAATGTGTTTCTACTATAATTTCTATTTTGTTTTTTTTTCTGTGTTTTGTTCATGAGAAAGTGTAAATAGTTTATTTTATTTTGTTTTTGTTATAAAATATGAATGAATAAAAATTTTATACTTAATTTTGCTGACGTTGTTGACGTTGTTGTTGTTATTTTTATTTTATGTTGTTGTTATCTTCTATGTTGTTGCTGACATATGAATGAATATATGTCTATTCACATAAGTTTGTTGACGTTGTTGTTGTTATTTTTATTTTCTATACTTTCGTGTACCTCTTTCATATTCTTTAATTGAATTGTAAAATGTATTTGTTGTTATTTTGGTTGAGTTGATGTAAGCAACCACATCGAACAATAAAGTTTGGTTCTTTCTTTAGATGTAAAAAACTAATTCTTCCTAGAAATGTCTAGAACCACTTTGTGTGTAAAAGTGTATAAATAGTGTATTTCATTTGATAACAAGTTTTTTTAATTTTCAATCTCAACATCCTTTTTATTATTATTATAAACCAAGATTATGAAAATAGTATATATGGTATTTTTGAATATTGGTACAGTTTTATTATCCTTTTAAATTATTATATTATAATACTTACATTGACAAATATCATGAATATCAAGATATTATTGTGTGATAATAATTTGATTCACTTCTTTGCAAATCTAACTGGAGTGTGAGTTTACATTCTTATGAGTCTTCCATTTATGCATATTTGAGTATTTCATAAAGAGCATAGGTAGTGGAAACACTACATATACAAATTTTGGAGTATACAGAATCCCTGTATTAGAGTATATAAAATCAAGTTACATATTATCATTTTGGCTGGTTTTACTGTTTCAATCCCATGTGTAAAATCAAGAGACATGTTATTTATATTTTAAGGATTCTTTTATTCACATGTTTCTGTTCGCAATTGGAATAAATAAATTATAAAGTATAATATGAAATAAATTAAAATTATAATAAAATTTTATTCTTAGTATATATAATCTTTGATAAATATTTCAATACCTTATTTTCCTTCTAGTTTGTATTTAGTCTTTGCATGAGAACTTGATGAAATAAATTTATTAACTAAAAGTTGGTACACTAATTTAGAGAGTACTATTCGTGTTATTTTTTATTCATTATAGTCGTAATAAAATCATTTAGTCAGTCAATGACTCAAATATTTTATATTTTTTAAATGTGAAAGTCCCACCACTATTGCTTCAACATCAAGAAATGGTGATACACATTTAACCAACTAGAACTGCGTTTGAAGCTAACTTGATGTTTATATTCCCAGAATACACAGAAAATAAAATCAAATGCTAGAAACAAATATCTTCTATTGTTTGAGATCACATCACAAAAACTCTTGAATATGCTAATATGTAATTGGTGAGATAAAATGTTTACGTGTAATCCAAATACGCATAACACATCCAATCTACTTCATCACGTTAAAAAATAGTATCATAAATATTCATATGTTCTCATTAACGATCCCAATCAAATAAATCTCACCCTTACAAATAGTAAGAATAATGGTCTTATTGCAACTAGTCAAAAATATAATCTTTTGTTAAAAAGTAATTGTTATTTTTGTTATTGTAGATGAAAAATCATTTAGAGTGATTGAGGGTAAGGACTTTAAGAATTGTGCAGTCAATTATAATTTTTGTTTCCTATTACAATTATAAGAGTAACACTCATCACTGGTGGTTGGACATCACTTTAAAACTTATACTATTTAACACTTGTCGCAGGCAATGATTGAAAGTATAAAAAAGGATAATCAAATTTTCAGTCATACCTAACCATAAAAGAGAGACAATAAGGAAGAGAGTTAAAAATGTATTAAGGGAATAAAGGCTTAGAAATGTGTTAACATGTAATAATCATAAGATTAGGAGGGGAACCATCCCTCTAAAGCTAGCTCAAGAGGTTGGAGAACCTCCTATCTTATAAGGTCTCTTTGGTAAAGAGACCTCCCACATTGAGGACTTGTTACAATACCACCCCTTCGAAAGTCGGTGTCTTTGATGACTGCACTTCTCGTACTTCACTCACTAGTACTTCACTCACCGGTACTTCACTCGACCTTTTACCAGTCAAAACTCTCCGACGATCATAACCCTCCGGTGGTCGAACTCGCCGTGGGTAGCCCTTCTCGAGTTAATCGACTCTCAATGAAAGCACCAATGTAACAACCATAAGACTAAGAGGAGAATCATCCCTCAAAAGCTAGCTCAAGAGGTTGTAGAACCACCCACCTTATAAGGCCTCCTTGGTAAGGAGACCTCCCTTGTTGGGGACTTGTTACACACCACTTACAATTGATAATGCATCATCATTAGATGTGGCTTTGACATATTTAAAAAAGAATAAAGAATATGTGAGTGGGTTAGTAATGGATGGACAATTTTTTCATGTTAAGTGTTATGCCCACATTCTAAACTTAGTTCTAGGTAATGGTTTAAAAGAACTACACAGCTCAATAACAAGTATTAAAAATGTTATTAAATTTGTAAAGACTTCACTACAAAGGATGACTAAGTCTAGAGAGTGCATAAAATTTTAAAAAATTGATTACAAAAAAACTAGTATATCTTGGTATTCCCACAAGGTTGTTAGAAAAAGAGGTTGAGATTAAGAGGGAGGGGGTGAATTGATCTTTGAAAGATTTTCGCAATTTACAAATTATCTATTTCAAAGATTAAGAGTTCGACTAATTCTTGAATCAAGTAAAACAAAATATTAAAATAAAGGCAACGAGCGGTAATTAAAGAGAGTAAGGTTTAGAGAAATACAACCAAGATTTATACTTGGTTCACCCAATCTCAAGGCTACGTCCAGTTCTCAGATCAAATTCTAGTCGAGTTCCACTAGATTGAATGTTTTACAGATTACAGATTTCAATCACACACCCAATCTACCACAAGAACCAAAATTTCAGTCCTTGCACCTAAACCTTCACCAAGAACCAACTTCCAATTCTTGAACCAACTTGCAGCCAAATTCCAGCCATA